TGTAGGGTAATGAGAATAGCCAGTAGTTGGACAAACTGAGTTATCAATAGTTGAAGTTGTTGAATCAGAGCAAGCAACAGTGAAAGCAATAATGAACAAGAAGGATATAAGGAATAAGGATAATTTTTTCATAAGGTACCTCATATTTTATTTTAATTATAACCTAAATATAACAAATATTATAAAAATAATTTTTTTAGATTTTTTATCCTTTAACTGGATAGCAAAAATATTATCAATTATTGTTGGGTATATTGTTGGGTATTAACAACTAGGCTGGGTAGGCGGAGATCCAAAGCTGGGTTTGGGTTGCGTCCAAGCAGAAGCGGCACTACAAAAATTAGTATAAGATGTTACGGAGGTTACATCCCAGCCAGATAAATCTTGATTGAAAGCTGTCGCAGTAGTAAACATCTGCAGCATATTTGTGACATTAGCAGTATTCCAACTGCCTATGTCTTGATTGAAAGCATTCGCATACTGAAACATCTGCTTCATATCTGTGACATTAGCAGTATTCCAATTGCCTATGTTTTGATTGAAAGCTTGCGCAGTCCGAAACATATTATGCATATCTGTGACATTAGCAGTATTCCAATTGGTTATGTTTTGATTGAAAGATGTCGCAAGGTTAAACATACTCTGCATATCTGTGACATTAGCAGTATTCCATTGAGAGATATCCCCATTAAAAGTGGTCTTGCCTTGAAAAAGGCTACTCATATCAGTAACAAGGCAAGTGGAAATATGGTTTAAGTTGGTCGTCGGGTTGCTGGCTATAGCAGTATCAACCAATGATTTTAACTCTGTCCTGTTTGTAGGGTAATGAGAATAGCCAGTAGTTGGACAATTAAGTGAGTTATTAATAGTTGTAGTTGAAGTTGTTGAATCAGAGCAAGCAGCAGTGGATGCAATAATGAACAAGAAGGATAAAAGGAATAAGCATAATTTTTTCATAAGGTACCTCATATTATATTTTAATAATTAAATTATATACATTTTAATACTAATTAGATACTAATAATGTATCTTAATTATAACTTAAATACAAAAAATATTATAAAAATAATATTTTTATTCTTTAACTGAATAGCAAAAATATTATCAATTATTGTTGGGTATATTGTTGGGTATTAAAACTATTAGGCCAAAGCTGGGTTTAGGTTGCGTCCAAGCAATAGTACCAAAACAAAAATTACTGTTACATCCCAGCCAGATAAAATTGAAAGCTCAAGGTGAAACATACTCTGCATAGTTGTGACATTAGCAGTATTCCAATTGCCTATGTTTTGATTGAAAGCTGACGCAACCTGAAACATACTCTGCATAGTTGTGACATTAGCAGTATTCCAATTGCCTATGTTTTGATTGAAAGCTATCGCAGACTGAAACATGCTCTGCATAGTTGTAACATTAGCAGTATTCCAATTGCCTATGTCTTGATTGAAATCATTCGCATTGTTAAACATACTCCGCATAGTTGAGACATTAGCCGTATTCCAATTGCCTATGTCTTGATTGAAAGCTCTAGCTTCCCTAAACATACTCTGCATAGATGTGACATTAGCAGTATTCCAATTGGTTATGTCTTGATTGAAAGCTAGCGCACTGTTAAACATACTCTGCATAGATGTGACATTAGCAGTATCCCATTGAGAGATATCCCCATTAAAATTGGTCTTACTTTCAAAAAGGCTATTCATATCTGTAACAAGGCAAGTGGAAATATGGTTTAAGTTGGTCGTAGGGTTGCTGGCTATAGCAGTATCAACCAAAGTTTGTAAAGCAGCCTTGTTGGTTGGGTAATGAGAATAGCCAGTAGTTGGACAAGCTGAGTTATCAATAGTTGTAGTTGAAGTTGTTGAATCAGAGCAAGCAACAGTGGAAGCAATAATGAACAAGAACAATAAAAGAAATAAGCATAATTTTTTCATAAGGTACCTCATATTATATTTTAATAAAATTAAATTGCATACATTAAATTAGATACATTTTACATACTAATTAGATACTAATAATGTATCTTAAAATGTATAACCTAAATATAACAAATATTATAAAAATAAATTTTTGTAGATTTTTTTTGTTCTTTAACTGGATAGCAAAAATATTATCAGTTATTGTTGGGTATTAACAACTAGCCTGGGTAGGCGGAGATCCAAAGCTGGGTTTAGGTTGCGTCCAAGCAGAAGCGCCAAAACAAAAATTACTAGAAGATGTTACGGAGGTTACATCCCAGCCAGATAAATCTTGATTGAAAGCTGTTGCACCCCCAAACATACTCTGCATATTTATGACATTAGCAGTATTCCAATTGCCTATGTCTTGATTGAAAGTATTCGCCTCCTGAAACATCTGCTGCATATTTATGACATTAGCAGTATTCCAATTGCCTATGTCTTGATTGAAAGCACCCGCAGCTACAAACATCCTATGCATATCTGTGACATTAGCAGTATTCCAATTGCCTATGTCTTGATTGAAAGCTCTCGCATTATCAAACATCCAAGTCATATTTGTAACATTAGCAGTATTCCAACTGCCTATATTTTGGTTGAAATTTGTCGCATTCCTAAACATATTCTGCATAGATGTGACATTAGCAGTATTCCAATTGCCTATGTCTTGATTGAAATTTGTCGCAGAGTCAAACATATTCTGCATAGATGTGACATTAGCAGTATTCCAATTGCCTATGTCTTGATTGAAAGCTCTTGCAGACTGAAACATATTCTGCATATTTGTGACATTAGCCGTATTCCAATTGCCTATGTTTTGATTGAAAGCTGACGCAGTCTGAAACATCCTCTGCATATTTGTGACCTTAGCAGTATTCCATTGAGAGATATCCCCATTAAAAGTGGACTTGCTTTGAAAAAGGCTACTCATATCAGTAACAAGGCAAGTGGAAATATCATTTAAACTGGTCGTAGGGTTGCTGGCTATAGCGGTATCAACCAAAGTTTGTAAAGCAGCCTTGTTGGTTGGGTAATGAGAATAGCCAGTAGTTGGACAAGCTGAGTTATCAATAGTTGAAGTTGTTGAATCAGAGCAAGCAACAGTGGAAGCAATAATGAACAAGAAGGATAAAAGAAATAAGCAGAATTTTTTCATAAGGTACCTCATATTATATTTTAATTATAACCTAAATATAACAAATATTATCAAATTTTTGTAGAGCATTTAATAGCAAAAATATTATCAGTTAGTAAACAACTAGCCTGGGTAGGCAATCCAAAGTCCAAGCAGAAGCGCCAAAACAAAAATTTTGTTACGCATGGTTACATCCCACAAATAGATAAAGACTGAACATACTCTATATCTGTGACATTAGCAGTATTCCAATTGATTGATAAAATAGTAAATGCATTCGCATACTGAAAATCTGCTTCATATTGTTATTTTTTAGCAAATCCAATTGCCTATGTTTTGATTGAAAGCTCTGGCATCCCTAAATTATCATTATCTGTTTTATTCCAATTGCCTAGTTTCATCAATTCTGGCATAAACCATTAATCCATAGATGTGACAAGCGAACTTGATTTTCGAGTGGACGATTATTTCAGTATTCCAATTGCCTATGTCTTGATTTAAGGTCAAGCAAAAAACAGTGAATTTTTAGAAGCATTGGAAACTACCCAAATGTGACATTAGCAGTGATTCCAATTGCCTAATTGAAAGCTGACGCACTCTCAAACATACTCTGCATATTTGTGACATTAGCCGTATTCCAGAGAGATATCCCCATTAAAAGTGGACTTGCTTTGAAAAAGGCTACTCATATCAGTAACAAGGCTGGAAATATCACTGGTCGTAGGGTCACTGTCTATAGCAGTATTGACCAATGTTCTTTGACCTAGTTGAAGTTGTTGAATCAGAGCAAGCAGCAGTGGAAGCAATAATGAACAAGCTGGATAAAAGAAATAAGCATAATTTTTTCATAACATTTATATTTTAATAAAATTAAATTATTTTCTAGTAAATATATCCCATTTTAATGCTAATACAAAGCATTGTAAAATATTTGTCAAAATTTTAATAAAAAATTTAAAAAAATTGTTGACTGGATAAAAAAACCTTTTTGAAATCAACATTTAAATTTATCATTATTGTTTTTTCAATTAGTTTCATACTTAATCCACGAAGCGGTTTAGAGGTATTTATCATAGTTTGGCGGGAAACTTTTTTTCTGCCTTTGCTGACGGGGTAAGGGGTAATTATCAATTACTTAAAGCTATTGAATTAAACCCCGAAATTTATGACAACTATTTTGGAACGGGTAGCTTTGATTTTTGGAAGGCTTACTACACGGATAAATTCTTTTGGCTAGGGGGTGGCAATAAAAGCAAAGAAAATGGTATCGATAAAATTCTTATTGCTATTGAGAAAGGCAAGTACACCACATTGGAAGCGAGCTTTGCACTAGTAAGAATTTATCTGGTTGATCAAAAGTATCAGAAAGCAATTGATAAAGGGTTTGAAATGCTTGAGGAAAGTCCCTCTTCTATCAACATAAGAAGGTATTTAGGTAAAGCTCAAGTAGGTGTAGGAGACTATAAAGGTGCAATGAGTACTTTTACAGAGATGAAAGAATTGCTTCAAGAACACCCATTAACTAAGCCTGCTGCCTTAGTGGATGCCAATCTTGACATCGCTCGGACCATGTTAGCTAGTGGTCAAAAACAAGAGGCAAAATCACTTTTAGAAGAAATAAAAGAGAATGTGCATCAAGTAGAACTGAAAAATGAATTTCTTGAAAAGATTGTTAATCAATACGAAGAATTGTATGAAGAAGTTAATGATCATTAATAAAAATAATTGTTGAAATCTTACAGCTTCTAATATATTTTTTGACATTTCATTGAACCACCTGACTTTTTTAAAAATTTAATTTTTCAAAAAATTATTTTATATTGCAACCAGATCATCTTAATTCAAAGAAAAAATTTCTACCTTCTTATTTCGGATCCTATGGGGGAGCTTTTGTTCCTGAGTTATTAATGTCAGCCCTTAAGCAATTGGAAGAAGTTTATCTTGATGCGATTAACGACCCAGGTTTCAAGAAAAAATTTATTGAGTTGTTGGATTATGCTGGTAGACCTACTCCATTGTTTTTTGCTAAAAGCCTTAGTGACCATTTAGGAGGAGCAAAAATCTATATAAAAAATGAAGGTCTTCTTCATACAGGTGCCCATAAATTAAATAATGCTTTAGGGCAGTCATTGCTCGCTCAAAGAATGCAAAAAAAAACACTCATTGCTGAAACAGGAGCTGGGCAACATGGTTTGGCGACCTCCACTGCAGCAGCAAGATCTCAAATGGGGTGTCGAGTTTTCATGGGCGAGGTGGACATGAAAAGACAATATCCCAATGTTTACAACATGAAATTGCTGGGCACCAAAGTAATGGCTGTTAAAGAAGGTACCCGAACCTTAAAGGATGCAGTTAATGCAGCCCTTAAAGACTGGATTGAGCATTTAGATGATTGTCACTACATCATTGGTTCAGCCCTTGGACCTCATCCCTATCCCACCATCGTGAGAGATTTTCAAAGCATTATTGGCAGGGAGGTTAAAGAACAGTTCAATGGTTTGACGGGAAAATTGCCTGATTTAATTATTGCTTGTGTGGGTGGAGGATCAAACTCCTTAGGAATTTTTCATTCATTCATTGATGAGGATGTAAAACTAATTGGGGTGGAGGCTGGAGGTCGAGGAGAGGAAATGGGAGAACATGCTTCTCGATTCCTCCATCCAAAAATAGGAATTGCACAAGGTTACAAATCTTATTTCATTCAAAATGAGGAAGGACAACTATCTCAAACCCATTCCATTTCGGCAGGTCTTGACTATGGGGGAATTTCTCCAGAATTAGCATATCTTCATGATCAAAAAAGAGTGGAATTCATGCGAGCAACTGACCAAGAAGCCTTGGATGCTTTTAAATTGTTGATTAAAACGGAAGGTGTTATTCCTGCGATGGAATCTTCTCATGCTGTAGCGGGTGCCATCCGTTTAGCAAAGAACATGCCTCGCGAAAAAAGTATGGTTGTTCATATCTCAGGTCGAGGTGATAAAGATTTATTCATTACTGCTAAACACCTTGATTTGAAAAATTGGAATGAATTCCTCAAACAAGAAATAGAGGAAATGTCAAATGATTAATGTGACAGGTTAAAAATTGATGTTTTTAATGTTATAATGAATTGCTCTTTATTAGGAGAATAGAAGGTTTAAAAATGGTAAAGACCAAAAAGAAAGAGAAAAATTCAAGAGGTTTGACAACTAATAACCTTCACTATTGTTGGGATCGTGGCACTCAGCACGGGGCAATCCATGAATCGATTCAGCCTTCGGTTACCTTCGCTTACTCTACTGTTAATCAACTTATCAATGTTTTTCAAGACAAGAGCAGTGGTTATGCCTATTCCCGCAATTCAAGTCCTACCGTTAAAGCTTTAGAAGAAAAGATCACGATGATGGAGCAGGGAATATCTACTTTGGTTTTTGCTACAGGGTTATCGGCGATCTCTTCGACCTTGTTTTCTTTGATCAAACAAGGAGACCACTTAGTGGTTAGTCGATACTTGTTTGGTAACACACTTAGTCTTTTTCAAACACTTGTACGATTAGGCTTTGAAGTTGATTTTGTTGATGTCACTCAAGCAAAGGAAGTGCAAAGAGCGATCAAACCCCACACCAAATTTTTTTTCACTGAAACCATTGCTAATCCTGGAGTACAGGTGCCTGATTTGGAAAGCATTGCTCATGTATTGAAAAAACATTCTAAAAGAAAAATTATTTCAATAATTGATAACACCATGACAACACCCCACCTGTATTTGCCTAAGCATCAAGGATTCACTTTCAGTGTCAACTCTCTTTCTAAATACATTTCGGGTCATGGCACGGTATTGGGAGGAAGTTTAACTGATCTTGGCAATTTTAAAGGGGTGAAAGATGAGAATATCCTTTCTGTTTACAAAAAAAAAGGTGAAGACTGTTTAATGAATCAAGTGAGAAAAAAAGGTATGAGAGACATGGGAGGGACCTTATCTCCCTACGCTGCTCACTTAATATCTCTTGGCTCTGAAACCCTAATCCTTAGAATGGAAAGACATATAGAAAATGCAAAAAAAATAGCTAAGGTTTTGTGTGAGCATCCTAAGATTAAATATGTTTATTATCCTGGATTGACTAATCATCCTCAAAGTCAATTGGTTAAAAAACAATACGGTGGACCGGGTGCTATTATGTCCTTTAATCTCAAAGAAAAGCCCAGAGGCAAAACAAAAGTTTATCAATTTTTAAATGCTTTGAAAGTTATTTTAAGATCTAGTCATTTGGGAGATACCCGCACCTTAGCTATACCAGTTGCACAAACGATCTTTTATGAAATGGGGGTCAAGGAGAGAGAAAAAATGGAAATTGATGAAAACCAAATTCGTCTGTCAGTTGGTATTGAGGATTGTGATGATCTCATAGCGGATATTTTGCAGGCACTTAAAAAAGTTTAGGTGGTTTAGCAAGAAGTAAAAAATTTTGATAGAAGTTATTAATCAAACGAACTTTAAATTTGAGAAAAAACATTTACAAGTTATTCGAAAACAAACCAAAGAATTTCTAAATTATCTGTCAAAAACCCACTCCAAAGTTTATCAAGATGTGAATGTGGTTTTAATGGGAGAAGAAGAAATAAAGTTACTCAATAGGAAGTATTTGAAAAAAAATCAAGCTACGGATGTTTTGACTTTTCTTTTCTTTGACCATATTAGAAATAAACGAATTGATCAAGAACAAAAAAAAACAATTTCTGGGGAAGTGTTGCTTTGCCCTCGGAAAATTTTAATTTATGCCTTTAAAGACTGCATTAATCCTATCCAACTTTTCTATGAAACCTTGTTGCATGGGCTACTTCACCTTTACGGAATGAAGCATGATTATGATGAGCAGTCGCTTAGGAAAGTTTATCAAAAGCAAAAAAAAATTTTAAATCATTTCAAATTAAACGAGGTTGCTATTTATGGGATTTTTAAAAAACTTATTTAAAAGTAAGAACAAGCAAAAAGAGAAATTGAGGCGTATCAAGTCTATTCTCAAATTTAAGGGTTTCACCAATCAGGAAAAATCCATGATCAAGGGAATTGTGTCCATTAGTGATTTGGTGGCAAAAGATCTCATGGTACCAAGGGTTGATGTTAAGGGTTTAGAAATTAATGCTAATAGGAAACAATTGGATCAATTAATTAAAAATTCTTTTCATTCTCGCTTTCCTGTATTTGGTGAAAATGTTGATGACATTAAAGGTGTCATACATATAAGAGATATTTTTAATTCTTTATTGGTTTATGAGAAAGATTTTCAAATTAAGAAAAGTCTTACCGATCCTATTTTTATTCCAGAATCTCGACCTGTTCTAGATGTCCTAAATGATTTCCAAAAAGAATATAAACAAATGGCGATTGTCATGGATGAGTATGGTGGTTTCTCTGGCATCCTCACCATGGAAGACATCTTAGAAGAAATTATCGGAGATGTAAGAGATGAGTCTGATGACAAGAAGCAAGCAATCATTACTGTCGGGAAGCATACCTATTCCATAGATGCAAGAGAAGATCTGGATACCATTAATGAAAAACTTCTTCTCAAGCTCCATGACGATCAAGTGGATTCTATTGGAGGTCATGTTATTAATCTTTTCGGTTACATTCCTAAGAGAGGTCAAAAGATTGATCATGAAGGGGTTACCTATTCCATCACCTCTAAAAAAGGTAACAGCATTACTCGGATTGTTATGAAGGTTTCGGAAGAAATTATCAAGGCATCTGAGGCTACATCATTTAAAGATGAAGACGATTAGTCATTGATATTTTCCATTTTAAGACATTTTCTATAATTTTTATTATTCATGCAATCTCTTCGATTGATAGTGTGGATTTTTATCGTGTTGCTTGTCTCCTGCCTTGGGAAAACAAGTACCCGTACAATTTACTTTATTCCACCTAAGAAAAGAGTTGTTTTTGTTGCAATGCCTGTAAATTACACTGAAGAGTTTAGATTGAATGAGATTATCCAAGAACAATTTCAACAACACTTTAAAAGTAATCAAAGATTTTCCTCTACGGACAAATCGGAGAATAGTCATCTTTATTTCCTTCTTCATATTAATAATTACCTTATTGAGGATGTTGAAGACTATGGTTTCTCAAACACAAGGCTTTACATGAAAGTAACTTTATTTTTAAGCGATCCTCAACTAAAAGATGAAAAAGATAAGGAGAGTCGTTATTATTTTAACAACACTTCCATTGAAGTTGAATTATTTGAAAAAATCATTAGTGGCGATCCAATTTTCAGTTTACAAAATGCAAAAAAAAAATGGCATGAAAAATTATTAGAAAGAGTCACGCACTTAATGGAAACAGGGAAACTTCCTTCATAAGGCACTTGGAAATGAGTGCGGTTCAAAAAAACATCATCGTTTTTCATGGGAAAAGTGATCTAAGTATTAAAAAAAAGATTCACCAATGCATTAATAAAATGCCCCAAGAAGAAAAGGAGTTGGCTGTCTCACATTTTAAAGGAAATGAAGCTGATCTTTCCTTAATCATGGAGGTATTGGGCTCTCTTCCTTTTGGGTGCACCCAGCAACTTGTTGTGATTTGGGATTATGAAAAAATTATTTCCTATAGTAATCTCTTAAAACTTGCTACTAGCATTCCTAGTGAAACCAGACTTTTTTTAATTAGTTATGCAACTCTATCGGTAAACCATAAAAACGCCATTAGTAAAAAAGCTAATATAGAGGTTTTAATTGAGTATTTTGTTGATTGGAAGCAAGTGAGAAATAAAATAATAGTGTTTATGGAAAACAATCAACTAAAAGCTAATAGGGAAACTATCGATAGTTTGGTGAAAATTTTTATCAATCACCCACATTCCATAGATTTAGAGCTTAAGAAAATCGCTCTTTCCTTCCAGCCGCAAACAACTATCACCTTAGAAAAATTAAATGGTATTCTCATTGATGATCAAGGTCGACAAAATGCCTATGAAGTTGTCAATGCTTTCTTTGAAAAAAATTTGATCAAGACTTTCAAAAATTTCAAAATTTATCTCAATAATATGGGAGAAATGAATATTCTAATATCTTTAATGATTAAGGAAATTCTTTTAATAGTAAAATTTAAAGAAATGAAAAAGGATAATTTAAGCAATCAAAAAATCTTCTCTAATTTAGGGGTGATTTATGATAAACATCAAAAATCCTTAGTCAGTAAAAATGCTTTATTTTCAATTCATAAGATTTCGGAATTATTACAAGAATTCTTGAGAATTGAAAAAGATCTTCGCTTAGACAATTTGCAGACTCAACAATCTTCAAAACCAAAAGTTCCTCTTCAGGCGAAAGTAGGATTTGAACGATTGGCAGTTACCTACTTGAGTAAAGATTGAAGTTTGAATGAAATTATTTTACCTATTCATATTGCTTCTTGTTGCCTTGTTTCTTATTGTTCAATGTGGGCTTCCGTCATCTACTGATATCAATCTCAATCAATTGAATAAACCAGAAGTTACTGTTTACAGTACGGTTGACTCTATTGTGCTTCAAGTAAAAGGTTATTATCCAGCTTCAGAGTATCCTAATTTTGAAGGCTATAATGTTTATATTGGAGACAATAATGATCCTGGTGAAATTATTAAAAGAGTTTTACATATTGATCACGATGACCGTCTTCCTTCAAAAAATGAGAGGACTTCTAGCAGTGGCTTGATTACCAACAATATTGAAATATCTAAATTTAAATTTCGCTTTACTTCTCAGGCGACGGATGATGATATTAATGCCGCTAATGTTAATCGAGAAGATCTTTTAGAAAGGAATTTCGCACCTTTTGAAAGATATTATTTCATTGTCAAAGCGAAAGAAACCAGCCGTGAAGGTGTTTCCTCTGATAGCGTTAGACAAATTTTCATCGACTATAGACAAAATCAAACGATTAATTATTCAGTTGGCTCTTCCACCTCTTTTAATTTGGTTACAGAGTTTACATCCTTACAAATAGGTCAAAGCAATATTTTCACCCAAAATGCAGACGGCAATGCCTACACTCTCAAAATTGGAACAGTGGGTTTTAGAAACAATATTTTTGAATATCCGAACA